GTGAATGAGACGACTGTGAAATTTCGTATCAACGATGCAGGAACCAGAGCACGAGTCTTAAATTGAAGAATGTGGAACATTAAAAACGTGGCAATGATAGTGTCAAAGTGGAGTCCTGTTGCAGAGGAAGCCCAGCCTGAACTCAAAACGGTTCCAATGTGGGTCACACTCAAGAATGTTCCGAGATCTCTCTATTCTTGGGGACGCCTTAATTTCCTAACTAGTCCCTTTGGAGTTCCAAAGAAGCTTCATCCGGATACATTATGGGCGAAAAACTTTGAGGAAGCAAAAGTTTTTGTCGAAGTGAATCTAACGGATAAACTCCCAGACTCTTTCTGTTTCAAGCTTAATAATGGCAAGGAAGTCTGTGTCCAATACGAGTTTCCTTGGTTGCCTCCATGATGCACACTGTGTAACACTTGGGGAAACCTCAACAGAGAATGTCTTTCAGAGCTAGGCTCTAAAGAAATTATGCGAAGAGAATCACCTCTGCAGGTATCGCAGAATACTACAGTTCCTACAGTGGCAAACGATATCACCGTCAGTTACTACTCCTCGGAAGAATGCTGATACTGAAATAGTTGAAGGTGAGACAAATCAGACTAAATCAGGAAAAGTTTTAGCAGAAGGGCCGCAAATCAGCACTCCAAAAACCAATGTTGAAGAGCCTAAAGGTGGGAAAACAGAGGATTGGATTAGTGTTTCTCCAAACAAAGCTGGTAAACAGAAAAGTAAAGTTGCAGAGGACCTCGAAATTGTGACAAACTCAAGGTATTTGTTGCTTTCAGATGAGGACGCTGATAACTTGGAACAGAGTGAGTCGGTTGGCTCAGGGGATGATGAGAAGCTTCCTGCTAATGAGATAACAGTAGGTGATTCATCAAAGACCATTGCAGAGGCTTCAAAGGGAGTGGGCACTCGTGCTCTTCTTCCTAGAGCTTCGAAAGCAGCAACTACAAACAGTAAGCCAACGCAAACTTCTTCCTCGCCGAAATCTTCTAACAAGAAGAAATCGGCTAAGAAGAGGAATCGCAAACCCAATAATCATCGCCAATGACAAGCTTCTTCTGGAATATCAGAGGGCTTAACCAAGTAAATAAACATAGCGTAGTTAGAGATTGGTGCGGCAAACATAAGTTTGAGTTTGGAGCGTTGCTGGAGACACATGTAAAAGAAGCAAAACCAGAACGCATTTTGTCGTCGATGTTTCAAGGTTGGTCATTTATGAACAATTATGAACATCACAGGCTAGGGCGAATCTGGATTGTTTGGAAAGATTTGGTGAGGGTAACTCCCGTTTTCAAGAGTGCCCAGTTGATTACAATTCTCGTAAAACTGCATGGAGAGGACGATGAATTTGCGTGTTCGTATGTCTATGTGTCTAGTTATGAAAATGAACGACGAAGCTTGTGGGAAGACTTGAGAGATCACTCAGCCTCTCATATTCTGCGAAAGCTACGATGGGTAGTTATGGGTGACTTTAATGAAATTGCATCTTCAGAGGAACGTTCCAATGCTGATTCATTTTTGGGTTCTGAAGTTGGTATGGTTGAGTTTCAGGATACGATAAGAGATTGCAGTCTAACTGATATGGGGTTCCATGGGCCATTATTTACTTGGGGAAACAAACGAGCTATTGATCTTATCTGTAAGAAACTGGACAGAGTCATGGTTAATGATGTGTGGTTGATGTCAACTCCCTCGTCTTACTGTATCTTCGAACCTGGTGGATGCTCCGACCATCTCCGTTGTCGAGTTCATATTAAAACCAATACTTTAGTCGCAAAGAAAAAACCATTTAAGTTCGCAAATGTGGTCGTTTCCATCCCGTCTTTTAAGACAAAAGTTGCAGATTACTGGAGTTCAAAGCCACCCCTCTTCATCTCTACTTCAGCTCTTTTTCGGTTTTCAAAACATATAAAAGAATTGAAAGGCACTATCCCAACAATTTCGCGAGAGCACATGAATGACCTATCAAACAAAGTTAAGGAGAGTCATACTGTATTGTGTGAGCGACAAGAGATAACCTTGTTAACACCAAATCAGAGCAACCAGGAGATGGAGAAAGAAGCACAACAAAAATGGGAGCATCTCGCAAAATTAGAAGAAGGATACTTGAAACAGAAATCCAAGATGCAGTGGCTCAATGTTGGGGATCGCTGTACGAAAGCGTTTCATTGCGCTGTCAAAGCTAGGGAAGCGAGGAATGGTATTAGAGAGATCAGAACAGTCTCAGGGGAGATGATCACAGGTCAGGAGGAACTTAAAACAGAGGCTGCAAACTTTTTTGAAGCTTTCTTAAATAAGGAGCCACAAAATTTGGAGCACCTAGACGAGGAAGCAATAGCAGATCTGATAAATTTCAAATGCTCAGCCATGGACCAAGATCTCTTAATTCGGGAAGTGACTGGAAAAAAAATACAAGATGTCCTCTTTGCTATGGCAGGCGGCAAGTCACCAGGACCGGACGGCTACGCTGTTGAGTTTTACAAGGAAGCATGGCCTATCATCAGGAAAGACTTTGTCATCAGTGTTCAGTCTTTCTTTGCTAAAGGTTTTTTGCCTAAAGGCATTAACTCGACAATACTTGCTCTTATTCCGAAGAAAGAGGAGGCTATTGAGATGAAAGATTATAGGCCGATATCATGCTGCAATGTGTTGTATAAGGTCATATCCAAGATCATAGCAAATCGATTGAAGCTCATTCTTCCCCAATTCATTGCACTAAACCAAACAGCATTTGTTAAAGATAGGCTCCTTATTGAGAATCTGCTATTAGCTTCTGAGCTAGTTAAGGACTATCATAAAGAATCTATCTCGCCTCGATGTGCTATGAAGATTGATATCTCAAAAGCGTTTGATTCAGTGCAATGGGAGTTTTTACTTAACATCCTCAGAGCCCTGGATTTTCCTACTCAGTTTGTTCACTGGATAAGATTGTGTATCTCATCAGCATCTTTTTCTGTTCAGGTCAATGGGGAATTGGCTAGGTATTTTGGAAGCAAACGTGGCTTAAGGCAAGGATGCTCTCCATCTCCTTACCTCTTCGTCATATGCATGAATGTTCTTTCTAAGATGATGGATAAAGCTGCAGTGGATCGGCAAATTGGTTATCATCCTAATTGCAAGGATCTTAACCTTACACATCTCTGTTTCGCAGATGATCTAATGGTTTTCTCAGATGGCAGTTTGAGTTCAATGGAGGGGATCATTGGGGTTTTTGACGAGTTCGCTAAAGTATCAGGTCTACAGATCAGTTTGGAAAAATCAGCTGTATATCTCGCAGGAGTTAGGGACGAAATGTGAATCACAACTCTGGAAAGTGTACCATTCTTGGCCAGCACGCTTCCGGTTCGTTACTTAGGTCTTCCTCTACTTACAAAGAAGATGACCAAAGCAGACTATGCTTCACTAATCGATCGAATCAGAAGACAAGTGAACTCCTGGAAATCTCAATTTCTCTCCTTCGCTGGCAGATTACAGTTGATAAGTTTTGTGATATCAAGCTTAACGAACTTCTGGATATCAGCATATCGTCTTCCAAGAGGCTGTATTGATGAAATTGAGAGCATATGTTCAGCTTTCCTTTGGTCAGGACCAAAACTCAACACCAAAAAGGCAAAGGTCGCCTGGATTGATGGGTGTACACCGAAGAGAGAAGGGGGTTTGGGCTTAAAAACATTAGAGATGCGAACGATGTTTGTGTTCTCAAGCTGCTTTGGCGGATTTTAACTGCAAAATCATCTCTTTGGGTGCGATGGATTCACTCCAGGTTCATTCAAGGATCATCGATTTGGGCAATAAAAGATCCCACAAGCTTTTCACCAGGTTCCTGGATGTGGAAACAGATACTTAAAATTCGAAACAGAGCAAAGGATTTTCTGCGGATGGAGGTAAAGAACGGGAAAAATACCTACTTCTGGTTCGATAAATGGTCTTCACTTGGTATTTTGGAGGATTTGACAGGGGAACGAGGTCATCTAGATCTTGGATTGAATGCCAAGGCAACAGTCGCAACAGCTGTAAGCTCCCATCGGAGACGAAGACACCGATGCCCAATCTTTAATCGTATTGAAGATGAGATTGAAGCTGCTCGCACCCGCCACAAACCAGAAGAAGATGATGTTGTATTCTGGCGGTATAAAGACGATGAGTACAAAACAATCTTTCGAACATACAGAACTTGGGATCAGATCAGACAGGTACGATCTCTGGTTCCCTGGAGCAGAGTAGTGTGGTTCACATACAACACCCCCAAGTGTGCTTTTCAGGTATGGATCGCGATATTAAATCGTCTCCCAACAGGGGATCGAATTTTATCTTAGAACGTTAACTTTCATACTTCATGTGTATTTTGTCTTCATCTTTTAGAGAGTAGAGATCATTTATTCTTTGATTGTCCATATACTTCGCATGTGTGGACCGAGTTAACAAGCAGACTTTTTGGATCGGATTTCTCTTGTGACTGGGAGACTCTAGTGGACTTTCTCACTCACCAGCAGCAAAGGCTCCTAATAAGCTTCACGCAGAAGTATCTATTCCATCTCACCCTCTACCAAATATGGGGTGAACGAAATAAAAGACGGCACGGCGAACCCTCTTCTACCTCGACTCAGCTCATCCAGAGAATCGACAAGGGGATGAGGGATAGGTTTAACTCCATACGAATGCAAGGAAACCAAGTACGAAGACGGATACCAGCTTTAGATCGGCTTAGATCGGCTCACGATCTGTTTACTTAGATCCCACATCAGCTTAACTAAATCTTGTTTTAAATTTGTTTTTTTTTTGTTTGAATAAATTTAATATTCATTCAAGAAAAACGTAAGCTATTTCGTTGAGGGTACACCAAAACGGTGTGAAGTTGGAGTTTCTCTAAACGAATCCGTGTCTGGTCTACGAATCGGGTCACCGTTCCCGGGTTCCCGCTCTGTTTCCAACCTATTAGCTCTTTTCTTCTTTTCATGTACTCCAAAGTTACAGTCCACCGATGGACAGAGCCAGCGAAGACCGGAAGACGTCGCTGCGAGTATAAACACGAAGAGCGTCTGATAATGGAGAACGCCACGGTTATCACAATCTCGGAGCTACTCCACGGAGGCCGAGCCTTCACCGGTGCATCGTCGCTATCCTTCTCCGCTGGTACGCCGGCTTCCGAATCAGAATGTAGAAACCGTCAATCACGTGCCGGAGCCGTCGATTCAGACTCTAACTGTAAGTTTCTCGCACCGTTGAACCACCCAGCGGTTATCGTCGGGACGCTAGCTCTTCCCTCCGAAACCCTAAAGTGTCCAAATCGCTACTGCTTTCGATTCACAGACGGTGATTTGAAGACAATCTGCTGTGATATCCTTGGTTTTGAGATTCGAGCCATTGGAAGTAAGATTTGTGTTCAATCGTGGAATTTCCTTCCAATGAGGCATTTCGGTGGGTTTTTGGAGATTATCAAGTGGAAATTCGTGGATACCAGTAAGTTGCTTGATTCGTTTCCGTTGGTTCCTCCGCTGCGTTCATCGGAAAACGGTGACGGTAAGTCTCGTTATAGCGTCCATGGTGTGTTAGAGTCCATTAGCCCTGTGTCTGTTGTTCCTTGTACGGAAGAGGATTCTGCTGATTCTGTGAACCTTCCTGGGTTCTTAGTAAAGGTCATGGCCTGTGAGTGTAAAGAATGTAGTCGGAAAGATATGATTGATTCGATTGATTGTAAACACTCTTTTGAGAAGTCTGTCTTCGTTTACTTCTATGGTTCAGTGGCTGCGAGTTGGCACCCTGCGATAACGAAGCTAGTTGGGAGAAATATTGCTATATCGAGGATGACGAAGAAGTTGGTTTATATAAGCAAATGTGATTCTCTGTTGGTGTTTGTTACGACTGAGAAATCTGTTCTTCGTACACCTTGGTTTTCTAAGAAGCAGGTTGTTTCGAAAAGTGTTGTTGATAGGAGAGATAACTGCAGCTCGTTCCTTGGATTTGTCAAAGGTGTGTATCTGAAAGGGAAGCTTGTTGAGATGGATGAAGATGTCTGGCTTTTATTGACGGATCACATACAGAACAGATCCCACAGTATCCGAACTGGTTCCCTTGTAAGAAGTCCCTTCTTAGTTTCGTGTGTGATAGTAGGATCTTTGATTGTTTGACTTAATTTAGTTCAGATTTTTGTCAGAAATGTTCATTTTGTGAATACCAAATTTTCTTGGGGAGAAGTGCGTATACTTGGGGCATGCTTCAAGACCAGCATCACAGTTGTGTTATTTTCACCATTTGAAACGGGGTAAGGTTATACTATAATCAATGAATTATGGATGCTTTCTCATATGTCTGGAGATTATCCAGCTGGTGCTTCAGTTGTCTTGTAGATTCATGTCGGCAGACACCTCTGAGTCGATTTATCGAGTCTTTGTCCTTTCCTGCAAGATTTTGGTACTCTTTCTCTCTGATGGTTTTAGCAATATCTTATCATGCGATTTCATGCTATTTCATGACTTGTGAGTGACATAGCTGCAAAACGATGCTTTGCAGGACATTACTCGTTAGTTCATGCATCCAGAACATTGACGGAATGCCAAAAGACAAGGGAATTCTAAGATCTTGTCAGGTAACTGAAAGCAGGCTTGGTTATTTGTTTTGGTCCTGGCCTTTTCCGCTTTTCTCCCACATTATAGTTCTATCGTCTTCCTAATTTTTGTGAGGTGTTATCAGAGGGATGAACTGACAAAGATGTATGCAGAGTCACGAATACCGCCATCTATGTTTCAACCCAGGGTAAATTGGTAAATTCAAAGTTCAACAGTATAATGCAGCTTTATACTCATCTTAGGTTAATAATATCCATTCTAATCAGTTTTACTTTTTTTTAAAAAAAAAACTTTTTAAATTTGCAGTGCGGGCTTTTTACTGAGTTCTGCTTGCATGAATCACGCGGATGCAATAGTGAAGCGCGTGATTGCAACCTAAAACTGGTGAGTCTGTCGTTTTGTAGATCATGGTTGGAGTAGAGCAGGTTAAAACTTCTGTTTACTTGTGATGATTACTTTTAGTTCTCTTATCATGAATTGCACCTGTTCTTTTCTGCAAACAGGTAATGACTATCTCAAGTTTTGTCCACCACTACAAGGTCATGTTGAATAAATTGTTATCTCAGATTAAGAAAAATGACACCGTGTTTAGTGCTAGTAAATTCTTAAGTCATCCATCATCAACGCGGAAAAGATACAGTCATATAAACCCAAAGACTCTTAGAAGTGAAGATATTGGTGTCATCTTACTTGGAAAATTGAAGGTATGTTGCTCCTGATGTCAAAAGTTTTTAGTTTTAGAATTGCAAATATTGCTACTCCATATCGATGTTGTGCGTCCATGTCTCTCCAAGATATCTGAAGGCTTCCATGAGTACAATATTGTGCTATCTATTAACTCATCTTGAAGGCTGTTCTTAAATTATTGAGATGTCAGTGTTATTATGTCACATTGTCACCTTAATAGGGTATACATATTTACTTAATATCTGGAATATTTCTCTAGCTTTTGCTACTTAACAAGGCTTTTGTTTTTCTCTATTCATACTCTTATGTAGCTGTGACACTTCTTTATAGATCTCATCTTCTGGAATACTACAATTGCATGACAGAACAAGCAGCATTAATGTTCTGACGCCAGACCTACGTTTAAGTGATAGAAATGCCTGCAGGATATGTGAGGTCAATTTTGTACATCAAACTGCATTTCTTCGTTTATCTGGCACGTTGGAGGATACCAACTTCATTATATCGACTACTCAATTAATTTTATTTTATTCGTTGTAGGTTTCTGATTACTATCTCATCATTGAAGGACTACCTGAATCGATTCTCCACATGCCCCTTCCTCCGGAGCCATTTCGCTGTAGAACTGTTGCTAATCCTACTCCATTGGCCATAGAAAACACCTCGACAATGGTTTTGTATTTATCGTTTGGTGCTGCGAATTGCGGTAACGTTCTCATGGATTATTCTCCTGACTGGAGGCATGATCTCAATGAGTTCAAAGAGGGAAGGTTTCATCTATTTAGGGTGACCCATAAATTTCCAAATTTAGAAAAGGTATTGTTGTATTAATAGTAACCTCCATAATGTCACTATTTTTTTATTTCTTTTGTTGCCAGAAAGAAAAGCTGTTGTTTATGCTACTGATTTTTTAACAAAGGTCTTAACTGTTATGATTATCGAACTCGTACCAGGGTCATCCAGGAATGCCTGACTGCACCAGTGTTTTCATTGAGGTTGTAATCATTCCCTGGGAACTCGTTTGCACTGCCACTGAAGAAGACGCAGCTGCTCCCCAATTTGATGAAAGTAAGACCTCCCAAGAAGAACGTCCTCATAAGAGATGTAAAACTAATGCTGCATCACAGAGGGAAAGAGTATTATCTGCGCCGCATGAAATTTCCTGTCAGGTTACCGTCAGATGTGCTAGTAGTCACTGTTTGACCATAGCAGCAACTCTGTCTAATTTAAAGGAAAAGAAAAGTGGTAACATGCACAGTGTTAAGCGGGTGCTGTTAGAACTCATACCTGAATGCAAAAACTATAATGTAAGTAATAGTATCTTAATTACATTAATTCCCGTGAAATATGTATGCTGCACAAAGACTATTGACTGAAAAAATGATGATTTTGAATTGTTATGGTAGGTATTGCAGATTGGAGGTTGCTATTTGATGAAGCATGGCACTGATGATTCTTTTTGTGTTGGACGGTCTGGCATATCTAACAATGACAAAATCACTTTTACGCCTGAAACACGTTTATGGAGTTTGGAATTTTCTTTTGATAAAGTTTTCACCCATGACGGATCTACGGATGTATATCCCTTGCTGTCTTCTCAACCATCTCTTGCGGTAGAACAACGAAATGTATCAAGTCCGCAACCTTGTTCAGATGTTTCGCTTCTTCTGCCTTATGATGCAAAAAGACTCTTCTCAATATATATCAAGGACTTGGAAGAACTTAATAAGCCAGTCGCAGATGGAAAAGACAAAAATAATATTTCATGCTGCACGCAGGGGAAGATGATCATGCATGCAGAGCCACCTCGACTACCTCTTCCCAACAGCTTATTTCCTGAGGGAAAATTAGCTACTTTCAGAGGCGACGTAGTAGCAGTTGATGCTGTTGACTCTTGTGTCACTGATGTTCTGAGCAGCTATTGCATTCATGTTCTAGTTAATCATCAAAAGGTGAGTACATGTTATACTCCTTTCTCTATTTTTTTCTTTCTCTACTGTCTGTATTCTTGTACCTCTTATCTCCTCAACGGTGCGTTTCAGGTGAAGATTTTTGGTCCACTAAGCAGACATTCATATCTCACTGGATTTGGCCCGGGGGTGAATGCAACATTCTACCGGATTCTTGGAACGGGGTATTATACCTAAATAATAACTGTTGCATAATTAGCTTTAATTAAGAGACAAACTCATCTGAGTCCATTGCATTATTGTTTCTGTAGAGAGGAAAACAGGTTTCTGTTGTCATCTGCATCTTTTGTCAAAATAAACTCTCGAAAGGCATTCGATGGTCCAGTTTTAGACAAAGGTCGGCCCAAAATTTCACCCCAGGATTCCTCGAGTAACAAGGATAATCAGCAAGTGAACTTTGTCTGCAAGGTAATCTTTTGGTGGATTAAAAAATTTGTTTTCTACTTCCAGTTATGTGTACTGTTTTTAAGATCTCCTTACTTATATTCTTCGTTATCTATTATTTGATGTAACAGGTACTTTCAGTTTATCTTCTGGTTCTCCAAGCGGGATCTGTTGATCCCTCGGAAAACAAATGTGGGGAAAATCTAGATATACCACTTGCAGGATTCGTGGTAGGTAAGTCACACTTTCAATTATCATTGTAGGGAACACTAGCAGGGCTTAGAATAAGGCATAACTTATGACATATTGCCAGAAAGGAAAAATTAAGCCCAAATTATAAAGACATTCGCGTTTTGTTTTTAACTTGTGCAGTCCCAATTGGGAAAAGGCCTTCTTATTAATTAAATTATTCTACTAGTAAGATTGATTATATTAAACTACTACTACTTCTTAGAATTTCTCTTTGTCGTCTTCAATTTTAGATTCTTACGTATGTGCGTAACATCTTCTTAAGACCTTCTCATTGAGCACTCTGTATGTGTGTAATGCTGAAAGGTAGAAAAAAACATAGAAAGCTGTGTACGAGTCTATACATTTATGTTTCCTTAACGTTTGATCCTACTGAACGGATACTTAGACTAATTTTCTGCTCCTGAGTAGCTGTTTTTTTTTTATAACGTACTTGAAAACGTGTTCATTGATAAACTGGCTAACATTATATGCATTTGTATTAAATTCACTTGAGCCCATTTTTTCTCCATTGATGAGTTTCACTCTTCATGATTTAGATGACGGATCATCAACATTTCTTTGCTGGGCAAGTGGAAAAAGAGCGTTTACATTTCTTAGGCTGCACGAAGAATTGCCTGAAAATGCTGTTGACGTGGCCCAGTGGATTAGAAGTGACAAAATCCAGAACACCACAGCTTACCATCTTGGAAAAATAGTTCGGGTTCACAAGAAAATAGTAATAAAGTGCAATGGATCACAAATTGAAGCACTCTTTCAAGATATCGCCATTTCTGTTGCCTCAAATCAACTTCTCACCTCTTCAGAGGATGAATTCCTCAAGTCGTTGATTCTAAACGCCATTAGCGGCCCTATCTGGGTATGTTCGACCTCTTTTATCCTCCTTTGATTTGATTTTTCTACAGTGCTTACCGTTGTTTCTCTCAGGTCTGAGATTGTTACTCTTTCTCGGAATTAGATGGACAGTCGTATGTTGCTGAGTATTATTAAGTTTTTTTTTTTTTTTTTTTGAGTATTATTAAGTTTACTACAGACTAACTACAGACTAATCATATTAACGGGTGATGTTAATTTTTCTAGTAAATCTGAAAACCGGTCTTCTCTGTGTTCATTGTTCTGGTTTAATCAGGATGTTACGGCCAGCTCAATGGACATGAACATGATTCAGCATTTGGAGAGAAAACATTGTTTGGAGATTAAGACTTCAAGACTTGCGCTACAGAACGTTTGGGGTAATGAAGTATGTCGAGTGGATACGTTGGTACGAGCCTGGAGCCTACTCCAAAGTTTGATAAATACGTGATCATAAATAAATTCAAAACGTCTACATCTTCTTTTGATGGAATTAACCTGACATTAATTTTATTTCCTGGTTTATTCATTTTATTTAGTACTCTTGGATTTAACTCAAATGTAAATGAAAACAATGAGGATGTTTGTGAGAAGATCTGATCTTCTCATAGGCCATAGGGTTTCAATTAGGTTACTCTAATTGCATGTTGATAGCACAAAGATCTGGAAGTTAAAAAAGAGGAGAAAATTGCTGTATGGGTAGTTTTTAAGTTTTAAATTAGAGGAATAGGTAGTTTTTAAAATCAAGGATAGAGTTGCTTTTACTGTTTGTCTTCCCGCTAAGCCTCTAAAACAATTTTTAATTTTCAACATTGCCATTGTCGAAGTAAAAGAACTAAAATTTTTTGGTAAAGTCCGATTTGGTAAATTGATTACAGAAAATTATAAACCGAAGTTTACTATCATAAACCGAAGTAAAACCAAATGTATAATTTATCGACATCCCAACATTTAAATTAAAAATTAAATTTGGGATCCGCATCTGGACGTAGTCCATCTAGCATCTCCGGCAATCCATCTCCGATTAGCCTCCGAGTGACAGTTGTAATGGCGCGGAGAGTTAAAAAATTGGTTACGCGCAACACCGTGCCTCCGGTGTCCAGGCGAGTGCTCCGGAGTAACTCGAAGACAGCTCCGACAGAGCAGTCGCCCATACCGCCCATGCCACCGCGACGGAGTGACCGGGTTGAACATCCCATTCACGCGAGTCGTCTCAATCCACGCCGGCGGTGTAGCTCCAAAGTACAATTCGCTCTTCTTCTTCTAGAATGGCCTGCTCAGAATTCTAAAAGTAAGTTACTTTTATGAACTTTGACCTTGTATGAACTGTACTGGCGGTTTGTTAACTCAAATTAAGATTGAAATGGGCCGCCTGATTGGCCTGATTTATGTGTTAGCGGTTATGAACTCTAGTAGTGATGTCTATATATTGAATTCAAACGGTTGGATTACTCTTATATCATCTAGAAACAGTTACAGAAGTTTATATATGAGAGCATACGAATAGTGTAGTTTTTCCAGATCTCTGTTCTCTCCTTCGAACTCCTTCGAACTCTTTTCCCTCAAAATTTTCCCCTGGTTTGCATTTAACTGTTTCTCCAGAATATTATATCTTTCCTGCATTTCGGATTTGTTTTTTTGGTTCAAATACAGGAATGGAAGACGGAGAAGCTTCAAATACAGGGATGGAAGATGGAGAATATTCAAATAACCTTTCGGAAAAACTACCAAAAAGGGTCCTCGGCGATGGTTGCTACCCCGTTGGTGCTCGGTTGAACATATATTCAAAGGCCAATGTCATTGGCCTCCTTGTCGAGGCGTTAAAGGGTATTGAAGATCTTGAAAAGCTACTTCATTCCCAGTTTGGGAAGTTATTCCATCTACCTGTTGCAAGATGTTGCAACAGCGCCAAACTAGTCCATGCCCTTCTATCACGACAACTTGTGACCACGAAGAAACACGAGATTTGGTTCCTCTTTGGTGGACAGCCTCTGAGATATTCGATACGGGAGTTTAAGGAAATTACTGGATTGAATTGCAATCCCGAACCTGATAGCACATAAGAAGAAGAAGATGTCGGAAAGACAGGAATCTGGAAAGACCTGTTTGGAAGAGCGACCGCTATGAACGTGTTTGATGTGCTTGAAATGCTAAAGGACCCGGATCTACCCCGATGGAAACGGCTACCATTGGCCCTAATCGTTCTTGTCGACGGTGTTCTCTTTTGCAATAGCAAAAATCTGGCCCTCACCGAAAAATACGTTGAAATGTTGACTGACTTGGATAGGTTCATGCTGTATCCATGGGGGAGGGTATCCTTTAACAAAACAGTATCTCGTTTTCAAGCTCCGAAGGCAATCACGGATGCCGAGAAAAGGGAGAATCCTTTAACACGATTGCATCGTCAACTTAAACAAAAAACCAGTGCATCGCTACGGATTCCCTCTATCACTACAACTCATGGCCCTCCAATCTATACCAATGTTAGTTTCCAAAATTCCTCAACCTGATAACTTGAAGACTTTCATTGAAGATCCCGAAGGTTGTCAAAACGTTATCACACTATTGCATCTTGGGGACATACTTGCCGTGGAATCCGACCCTCTGGTAAATTATTTGTAGTATTATATTTAGTACTATTTGTAGTCTTATTTTGTAGTACTTGTTTTATAAGATAAGTACTCTGTGATTGTGTTGGTAATTTTGCAATTGTTTTTTTGTCTTAGTTGTCTGTGAAACAGATGGTAGTGGATGATGGTGACAATGACCAACAAAATGAATTGCGTTGGGGAGATGAGGTAGAGGATGCCGAAGTTGCATTCATGCAGGAACTCATGGCCGAGGGGTACAAATTCACACCTTCGGATTTTGCTGTAGCACCGGCACCTATCGTGGATCTTAGTGATGCAGAGGAAGAGGTTACCAATAAACAGGAACCGGAGCCATACACCCGACCGAAGAAGAAACTGAAAACTCATCAAACTGAAAAACGTAAGATGCAGAGGAAAAGAAGCAGGGGCAAAAACTCTTCTAATCTATCAGAAGATGAAACCCCTGAAAGTGGACAGATTGCAGCTCTTAAAAGATGGATAGTAAGTCAGAATGAATTGCTCCTTCGTAAGATTAAGACAGAGTTGGACAAGAGATTGGGCGTATACCAACAGGACAAAGAAGATGACGATGTACACGAGTCAAAAGAAGATGGGGAAGAGGATGACGAATGACAGAATCCAAAACAAGGTGGTGAAAAACCGGATGATGATGAAGACGAAGACGAAGATGGAGGTGAAGAAGGAGGTGATGATGGTGCACAGTCTACCGTACGCCATGATGATGGTGTACACCCCCAAGGTGGTGTACACCAGAAAGAAAGAGATGATGAAGAAGGGACCTCTACTTACTACACGAGGACCATTATTCTCCCACGGACCATGCATCCTTGAAGACTCCAGAAGCTTCGACGAAGACCTCTGAACCTGAACAAGCCAATTCAGGAACAACTCGTCCACCTACTTACTTCGTCAATCCGGATAAAGGTCCACCTTCTGGCCCCAACGAGGTGAGCTAATTGTTTAGTCAGCAGCTGAATCTATTAAGTTTCATAACGGGTGTGTACTATGCAATTTTTTTTATGACTTATTCAGGTGGATGTTGGTCGAACAAATTTGAGGTCAGGCACCTTAGTAGTCTACAAACCTCAGACTGCTCACCCATTAAGCTACGCATATAAGAAAAATGAAGCGCAGACAGATGCACAGGATGCACAGGTCAGACATTAAACTTGTTCATATGATATGCATGTGTATACAGTACTGTTTAGGTATACGCTAGGTATACGATTGATATGTTATACGCTTTATTGTTACGGTGGTTTGTAGGCTGTGGCTAATGAGGAGGACTCAAATGCAGCGAAAGATTACCATACTGCGCCGGAGGATGCAAGTGATGCTTCGCAGAAGACCCCTTGTACTCCAATACCCCCACAAGAAGTTGAGGGATCGTCTGGTGTAAATAGAAAAAGCAGAGGAACAGGAAGAGGAGGAAGAGGTAGAGGAACAGGAAGAGGAGGAAGAGGTAGAGGAAAACGCGCACGCGTACGGTCGGACAAGATTCGAGATATTTACACCGCAGATTCAAAGGTGAAAGCTCTATTTGTATCCAGATCGAAAGGTGCATACAAACCACTCGAAACAGTGTAACAAGACCAGTTCAAGGCATTCCAGAAGTTATTATCGCGTGAAAGAAACATGTAAGTTATATCGTATGCAAAGCAATTTATCCTTAAACTTTCATTGTTATCAATTACCAATTGCTCTCATTACAGCGACTTTTGCATTGTCACTGGTCATACTGTGAACAATCAATTCTTCCTACAAATTGCGAAGCCTACTGAGTGGGTTAACACGATGGTAAGTATATAGTTAGTACCTACTGAATCTTTAATTATCTGTATTATCTGTTATTTATTTTTTTTTATTCGTCAGCACATGCAAGTCATAATGGCCATGCTTTGGAGACGTAGAGATGAAATATACTTGAAAGACAAGGTAGCATTTGTAGACACCTTGTTCATATCCATCATCGGCAACTACTACAACGGTTTCATATCTGGAGACAAAAATCAGTATGACTGGGGGAAAACCATTCAGGGCATTGTATTGGGAAAACCTGCAAAGTGGGCTAATCAACGTTAGAGACAAATGTTTCTACGGTTTGTGGACGTTGTCTACGTCCCGATGAACTGGGGGTCTGAGCATTGGGTGGGCCTTGTAATTGACTTTAAAATTGGCAACATAAAGATTTTGGACTCATTCATCAGTCATAATGATGAAGCGGATGTGGAGCAGTATATGGCGTCCGTGTGTCAAAGTATGCCATTTATATTGAAGCGTTATTTGCATAGCAAATTAACGGAAGGCCTACAAACCACCACTTACACATGGAGTCGTTCGGAGGGCATATATCAGAACGCGAGATCCGGTGACTGTGGTCCATGTGCGGCCAAATTCTTAGAGATGCATGCTGCAGGGCTTGGAGTGGGGGATATGGGTTTGATAACGGACGATGACGTTGACAGGTTAAGGGAGAAATACGCCATGGACTCATACGAAGAGTTTGTTGGGAATCCGGCTGTTGCCAACGCTTAGGACGAATGGTGAACTTTAATGTTGAACTTGACAGTTTATGAAAGGTGTATTTGTTGGATTATGTGTTTGATAATGTTTAGGATGTGGGTACATTTGATAATTTATATGCGTATACTTTAGTTTACTTTAGTATTTATTAATTGGTGTGTCAATACTTTGTTCCCGGAATAATTTGGTATCCGTACACCATTATACATTTAGGTGTACAGCAAATACATCAAATGGGTGTACATCAAAAAAAAATTGTTTATACTTTACTTTACTTTACTATTTATTAATTGGTGTCTGAATACTTTGTTCTCGGATTAATTTTTTATCTGTACACCAATATGCATTTAGATGTACATCAAATGGGTGTACAACAAGAAAATTTTGGTTTAGCCACCAAATTTACAAACTCATTTACAATCTTAACGGTAACCGCATTTGATGTATACGCTCAGTTAGTGTGAATTATAAATAATTATATATATGCAACA